CACTGAAACCATTGATACGAACCAACTGTACAGTTGGGATAGAGTAGGATGACAACCATGTCTGTTCCAGCCATATGGTTGGTCCAGTAAAAGTACCCACAAGAATTCTTGCCTCTCATTTTGAATGACCTTTTAAAATCTGTTCCACATCAGAGATTTTTAAAAATATAAATCATATATACCACAAAACTTGACATATCAGATGTCCGGTATTTGGAATCTTACTGTGCTGAGTGATGTGATTCATCAGGCTTACAGCTGCCCTATCAAATGGCATTAGTTAAGAGCTGATCTTAAACAAATATATAGGACATATAGGAGCTGACTGTCTTCAAGAGCAAGAAGATGCAGGGGTATAACATTGTATGCAAGATGGTCTGAACAAGTAGAATATGTCTTGTTAGTTCTCTCTTTCCATTGGTATTATTTTTCCATTGCCTGATTTCTAGAAATGTTCGAGCTTTTGCCAGTACATATCCTTGTCTCTGTCTCCTTAATTACACTTGATCTTATTTTACTTTTTTTTTTTTTTTTTGGTATGTTCGTGTTTAACGTTTCATACATAGTGCAGTTCTAAATTTCTGGATACCTTTAGTTTTTCTAGTGTGTGGGGGAGAGGGGAATCTCTGCCTACTCCTTTAATTGACACTGTGAACATGAGTATCTCTGCTCCTTCAGATCAGATCAGTCTTTTAAAGCTGATTAATATAGTGGGATGATGGCAGCAGTGTGTGGCATTTCAATTTGTTATTCACTCATGTTAAAGAGCGTTTATCTCAAATTTATAACATTGTTACAGTAATTGAGGTTAATTAAGCCACAAACAATATGAGCAGGAGCAATTGGGCCATTTTTAAGCAATCTGAAATGTCATTTGACAATAGAATTAATTTGCAAACTTTGAAGTAATGGCAACAATCTCTGCACTCAAAGCCTAACGTCATGGGGGCAGACTGTTACTATCATCTTGATCTTTCGGAAGCAATGTGTTTTAATAACACAGTTGTCTTGCACCTGCTTGTTTAGCTGTGCATAGTTATATAGCCTAACATGCTGAAATGTTTAGTGTAAACATCTTGGCATCTTGTACAACCCTGTTTCACTCATGACTGTTGCAGATTAGTTTTTGGAACAAAATGCTGGGCTTTGACACATTTGCTCGCAATACCTTATTTAATTTTCTCTGTTTCAGTGACAGGAACACAGGCTAAAGATCTTACATCTGCTGGCCACACATATGAGCAGGGAGAATCACTTATAAATCTCTCAATGCTTAGCTTTCTTAACTATTTATCAGCTAAATTACAGAAGATCATCTGCTGCTCCGGTCTCATGATTCCTTTCTGTCTTTTTATCTAGGTTGTTCCCTAGGTCATTGCGTGCAAAGAACAAGATCTGACTACAGAGCTTCTATTCCTCCAGTTAAACTAGGCCCTTTTATAGTATGCTTTCTATTTCTTATAACAAGCTGCATCAGCCCAACTACAAAATCTTCTTGCCTATCACTTATCCTAGTGACTGATAATAAAAATGTTTATGATATCTGCTCATCCATCCCAAAACATTACAAGCTGGAGGGA